GCCTCAAACTAGTAATACAAACGTCGGTAATCACATATCATTAACCAACGCAAATTCCCAGTACCCGAGAAATTTTTGAGAATTATTAAAAAAATTAAATTAACCCTCTCGACAGCAAATTCATTGCAGAATAATTAAATGGAAAGCTAATACCGAGTGACAAGCACGAAAGTCAAAAGCATGCATTGGAGAGGGTTAGAATTTCAAGGTAGTCGCTAAACGAAGGTAGATGTATATGAAGGAGGGACAGCGCTGACGCCAATTTTGCACTCATAAAATGACATGAGCACTTTTCGAATGCACACTTCAAACGTATGTCACAATTTCATTTTGAACGCTTGACTTCCGCCAAGGCATCCGATGATGACGACGGGTTCCCAGGGTGAAGCATGGATCAAACAGTCGTCACAGAAAGGTTCTGTGTCATCGAATTCGTGTGGGAAGGCCCTACCTGCCCTATTTTGGAAAGGTAGCTGCACAAAATGTCAACGCCATTGTTATGTCCTGTCTTGAAGAACTTTTTGCGTTCTTCCATGCCTCTTGTTGATACCCATAACAACTCCTAACCAGGGTCGGTCCTATCGTTGTTACTTTTTGAAAAATTTTTACGACCCCCTCCCCCAAGGTGGATTTGATACGACCCCCTTTTCGACACCTCGACCACCATCATCGTCTCTATAGTACTTAATTCTGATACCACTCAACCCACCAAACTCCGCCCACTTTTTCCTCCAAAAATGCCGTCGAGCGGGGTATATAGCTACTCTGAAACAGTAAAAATTCACCTAAACTCCCTAAATTTCCCATTTTACTCTTACTTTTACTTACTTTTACCCGCTTTTACGCACTGAAACGGCGAATTTTTCTCCCGCGCGCTCCCAACTCCCAACCTATACGACCCCCCTCCTACAAACTCAACCAGGTACGACCCCCCAGGTACGACCCCCCTTGTTACTAGTAACAACGTAGGGTTGACCCTGCTCCTAGCCCCTTCGCTCCCCAATTCCCAACGAAAAGTCCGGGAGAGAAAATGTTGAAGAGCGATGATGGGATTCGTATTAGAAAAAGATACGCAGTAAGGAATTTCTTGCGAGAGGTCTCGTAAACTGACCCCTGATTTTCCGCCCACTACTGTCGCTTGTGCTGAGAAGAATTGAGATTCTTGGAACAGGGTCAACCGTTACGTTGGACCGATATTGGAGCGACGTTGGACCGATGTTCACCGCTCTCCGCGCCGGCATTCACTCTCGCCACCCGCGAGCCGTCTGTGTCTCCGTGCGTACGTTCACTCTCGGCATTACTCTCGTCGTCGCGTTGGACTTTGTCCAACGGACGGTTGACCCTGCCTGCAGCTCGATGATGTGAGTCGGAAAATGAAGTCTGCAACGTTGAGAATGGATAACTAATTTTTCTAGAGTTTTTTCAAAGGCAAGCAACATAGCGAAAGAGGGAAATATTGTGGAGAAAGTAGCCTACATACCAATTCATCAACCGAGAAAGCATGAAAGGTTTGATGAGCCTGAATAAAGGTAGGGCACACCATGCACCAAATCTAATAGTACGTGTTGCCAAGAAGACATTACAGGAAGGACAACCCTACCAGTAAAGCAGGCGGAAGCAATCATCCTAGCCCTCGATGATATAAAGGCTATAGTTGTATTTCAGCTCCAATTGTTATTACAATTATTCACGCCACATGACAGGTACCAAGCCCGGCAACTGAACACGCGACGATCCATCCATGCCAACAATTACTATAATTTGACGCGAAATTGCCGACAACGTTTTCATGTCCAAATGCTTGCAGAGCATCAGCAGCGCCACAAGGAACTTCCCTTCTTGAAACGACGCTTCATAACTGCCCAGGGGCTCACCAAACCGGCAATGAAAGTAAACGTGGTAATTGGTTATTCAGTAAAACAGCGGAGCAAGAAGCTATCAAGAGTCCCCCCGAGTACACAGAATGTGGCCTTTGAATGGATCTTTTCAACAAACACCTGAGCGAAACGACCTGCTCTCTGATAAAACTTCTTCACAAAAAAAAACTCTTCTAAATTTCACAAGCGCAGACGCTGCGCCGATTCCATTGCTTGAACGTGCATGGCAACATCTCATATCTCAAAAAATCGTCAAAAAATTTTGACCACGATCTTCGAGCCCATTAGGTCAGAATCGGCTGCAGAATGAATGCGAACTTGTGAAGCATTGGGCTATGCGTTGCCCTCGTCCCACCAAGCACATGAACTTTCATTCCGAACCCCCCAACACACGCGTTTTCCTCTTGTGAGCAGTGTCGGGCCCATATCTTCGATAGATGAGCGTGGCCCCGGCTGATGGTACCGAAGGAGGGCCAGTACCCGTAGAAGGAGCCGCCGGAGTCGTCATGTCACTCACTACCCTCCAGCTCCGTCTTCCCCTTTCTCCATCATACCAAACCCTTGTCATAAATAAATATGTATAGCCAATGGTGTTTTCTAATATTACAGAACCGGCCACACACCTTCAGATACTAGAGGCTCGCGAACCTATAATCTGAAGCAGCATATTTGTGAGCTTTCGAGAACGGCGTGCCAGTTCTACACAACCATCTACGCCCTCGCCCAGTGGTAAATACGATGAGGTCGAGGGTTCAAAAGGGAAACTCACTTTGCGGAACGACAGGCGGAACCAGCAACGGTGCAGACCGGCACGCGATTCGCAGCGAAGGATCTGTCCCCGACTAACTAGCATGACCCTCCCGCAGGCGCTGTCAGTCGCGCAGCCCACTCCCGCGCACGTGCCCTCAGCCGTAATTAGCCGAAGTTCTCTAACCGTTTAGCGGAGAGCCTTAGCGTTGAAGAGGGCAGCACCGATGAGAGTCGCATCTATGCAGACTCAAGGGCGTAGGATTTTCCTTCATCTCGGCCCCATTGCCCCACCTCTAGCCCCCTCGGTCTAATGAACAATTTTTCTAATCGTAAACTCTGCTTTAAACAACGACGTAAGGCTTTCGAATTTTTCATTACAAAAAAGCTCAAAAGATTTGAGAGTCTAAATACCCCCTAAAACAGTAAAAGCAAGAATTTTGGAATCTCCAGAGCTTTTTAGAAAAAAATGTACCATTTCGTAACGCGTTGATTGGAGTTGTCAAGTATTGTTGCACATCCTCGCTTCAGGACCGGATCGCGGAGTCAATCTTTTTCTAAGTGTAGTAGACGCGCTTCGACAAGCACTCTTGCCCACGAGATATCCTAGTTTTCTGAGGTTATATAAACAAATACCGAGTAAAATAGCGGTCACTCTCACCTACCATATCCCTTACAATTTCACAATCCCCTTGTTAGTATTGTACGAACATAGATTGTGACTTACCAGGAAAGGCATTCAACTTCCCATGGAACTTTGAGATGAGACCCAGATATATCGATAGAGCTTCAAACGCTGATTACAAATATGGAAACTAAAACTGCAAAATGAACCTGCCAAGGAAGTTGTGAGCAGTCAAAGTTGGCTGGAAGTAAAGCATTACACTAGCCTCCGGGCTTTCAGAGCCTCCGCGGAGCAGTGGTGGTGCCCTCGCTATTCACCCTGGGGGTCATAAGCTCTCCTCCCGTCGGAGCGCAAATTCCGAGAGCACTACCACTACTCCAAGGCGACTTTGAAAGCCCGGAGGCTAGTGTAATGCTTCACTTCCAGGCAACTTTGACTGCTCACAACTTCCTTGGCAGGTTCATTTTGCAGTTTTAGTTTCCATATTTGTAATCAGCGTTTGAAGCTCTATCGATATATCTGGGTCTCATCTCAAAGTTCCATGGGAAGTTGAATGCCTTTCCTGGTAAGTGCTGCCAGGTGCCCAGACTTGCGAACGGACCCGATTTGCAGCCCAAGATTTCGGGACAGAACGCAGTCGCTGTGAGCGATCTGTCACTGATTGGCCCGTCGCTTTGAGCGATCGTCGCTCGCGGATCGATATCTTGAGAGGAGGGTTGCCATCCATAACACCGAATAGTCCTATTTCGTAACAACCGTGACCACTCAACAATTAAGATAACATGTTCTTCTTATATATTTTGATCCATTTAACTATCTGATGATGATATCGTGAATGAACAATTATGGGAGTAACAGTGCTTTGAATGATATTATTTATATTTATTCACGTTGGCGCTAGTATTTGTCTAATGGCTTTATTATTTTGGATTTCAATTTTTTATTTGCAGGTATGGCGTCTGTAGTCATGCACCAAACCTAGTATTATGTGCTGTGTTGTCGTATCGATCGCGAGCGACGGATCGCTTGAGCGACGGGTCGCGCCCGAAATTTGTGCAACAATCGGATAGCCGTCGCAAGTCTCGGCGACTGGCACACTAGCGATTGGCGATCGCGTTAGAAGGCAGAGAATGAACCAAAACGTACGTGCGCAGTTCGCCTGCTCGTCTACTCGCCTAATCGCCTGAGTCTGTAACTCTGAACTGTGCCTTGCTTTACCCACCTTTGAGCGAAATCCGAAGAGACATTTTGAAGAGGAACAAGCAAATCGACACCAAACTGACACCAAACTTGTGATTTGTGTAATAGAAGGGTATCTGTGATCCATAAAGGCTGATTGATTTATTGGCGTAATAACTCCCATGGTCCCTAATAAAGTCACGAATACAGCATGATCAGATACAGCACAACTAGCAAAGTAAGAGGTCCTTTTTACCACTGATAAGTCAAGGTGCTCACAACCGAAACATCAATGTAACAAAATAAACAACTTCTGCTAAAGAAAACTGTTTCCTTCTTACAGCTGATCTTCAAATTAGAAACCCAAAATGAATTTACCCAATATACAATGGTGGCGTTAACCGTATTAGCCTAAGTACCTAACCGTATTACCTAAGTAGACGACACCAATGATACCTAGAAAATTACAGTACAACAGGAAATCTCAACAAGACGAGAGATCAGCCAAGTGATGAACTGGAATTGTCGAGTGGACCCAAGTTAACAGAGAGAATGTCAGTGAACGCTCATCCTTATGACAAGCGGTTCTTCTTTTCAGCAATTCTCTTGTATTTTTTGGTAATCTAAAAAGAAGAAATTTAACACACTCTCACCCGTGGCAGTCCATATGGGCTGCCACCAAATCAAAGGCCTGCTAAACTGTTGTAATTTTCTGCATATTCTTGATATTGGAATGATTATCGTCTTATAGGTCACTGAAACTGCTTTGTGGTCCTTGTGTTTTTATTCATTTGCTATACAAAACCACGGATAAGAGGTCAGGCAGTGGTAAAATCGCGCCGTTTGTTCGTTCTGCAATTCAAATTTTCCTGTATCCCCCACAGAAATACAGACGTGAGGTTGGCGAGCTCTGCTTAAAAGGATTGTGATTTTATAGAAGTATCGGTAGCTTACCCTCCATCTAAGCAAATGGCACAGCAAAAAATTGTTTGTAGGGCTGACTATCTGTTCAGCAAAGCTCAATGAGGGGCGACATGCTGCATATGAAGGGGGGGGGGGGCATTCATAGATGGGCATTATAAGCTAGCAAAAAGAGAACATTAGATAGATAGTTGGGAAAAGACGAATCTCCCGAACATTTGCAATAGTTACTATTTTCAATGGGAAGGGTCATTCTGGAGGTGCACAGTAAGATGATGCTTGACTAGGAAGAGTGTATAAGCGAGAGGATTACGAAAAAGTGAAGAAGTGGGTAGCGTAAAAAATCCCTCATTTAGGGGAAGGAGGTCAAGCCTACCCACGGGGGGGCAAAAAAATCATTGAAGTTAAAGCGCTACATAAGTTCTTCAATCGTTAAACCAGTAGATATCTTCTAGAGACAGTAGCTTCGACTATGCAAAACTGCTTTTGACCAGCGTTTCAGATATGGTCGTAATGATCTACGATTCGCCGAGAACCTCGTTGAGCTTGAACCGTGCCACCATGTTTCCGTGAGAAAATTTTCTGATATCGTCGGGTAGGCTTGTCTGAAGTTCCTTTGATAGACTGGGGAGTGCTTTTCAATTTCAATTTGAGATCCTTGGCTAAGTATCTCCGAGTGACCCTTTCATACGCCCTGTAGAACATTCTCCAGT